TGTGTGTGTGTGTGTGTGAGTGTGAAGCACCTACCCTCCGCTCTCTCTCCAGTCTCTCCTGAGCCTCCTGCTGACGACGTGCAATCTTCTGCTGCTCTAGCTTCTGGCGCATCTCCTCACGGGTCTGAAACGACACATACGACACATTGTGTCAGTTGCCATGACAACAGGAGGAAACGACACATACGACACATTGTGTCAGTTGCCATGACAACGGGAGGAAATCAGACGACACATTGTGTCAGTCATACACGGCACACTGCCAGTTGCCATAACAACGGAGAGAAAACAACACACAAGTATAAAACAACACACAAACTATAAAACAGCACACACTTATAAAAGAGAACACGTCAAATTTCAGTTGCCGTACGACACACATTGCGTCAGTTGTCATGATAACGGAGGAAACGACACATGACACAGTGTGTCAGTTGCCATAACAACGAGAATAAACAATACACAACTATGGATACTTGGATACCTGGAGCTGTCATCTCTGACTCAGAGGTTGACGTGTAATGACCCTCCATCCTTCACGATCGCGAGCTGCCCTTTGCACATTCTGCCATATCCAGGCCAGTCCATGTTCTTTGTGTCCATCCATGTCACTCTTTGTCTTTCTCTGTCTCTCCTGCCCCACATTTTTCCTTTTAGCACCTCTTTCACAATGGTCTCGTGTCGTTTTAAATGGCCATAGTATTACCCACGTAATAATCGAAGCAATGTAATGGCCGAAGTTAGTTTTAGTTGAGGTTTTACGGCACTCGCAACTGCATAAGGTCATATCAGCGCCAAGGGGTGGAAGTCAACAGAGAAGTCCTAACAGGGAATCCGGCTCACTCTGCTCACCTCTCTAGCTTCAACAGCACAAAGTCTGCTTCGACTATCAAGGCACCCCGGAAATAGCGGGTCACAAGAGAGTGACAAACATACAAAAGAAGTAGAAGAAAAAATGACGATAGTAAGGATTAAGAAAGAAAAAGCAGCAGTTCCCTGTTGCAGTTCAGGTACAGTTATGAGCATGGCGTTAATGAATCAGCCCATTTGCAATTACAATTCTACTGTGCATAAGAACTCCAGATGTTAATGTCCCCCCTTTGGGAATGGCCTAAAGACATTTCAGTCAGTAGCACCACCCCCCGGGTGGGGGGTGGGGGGGAAGGGAGATAAGTAATGACCGAAGAAACATGACTATGACACAACTGAAATGACAACGTTATGGAGCAAAACACGACAGTGTCAGTTGCCATGACAACCGGAGGAAACAACACACCACTATGAAACAATTGACCCACTTCAGTTGCCATTTCCATGGCAAAGGTATGAAACAACACACACACACACACACACACACACACACACACACACACACACACACACACACAAACACACACACACACACACACCTCTCTTCTCTGTG